CCCCCCCCCCCCCCCCCCCCCCCCAAGGTTACAGGTCATTCATATACTGTACCTCCCCCATTTTTGAGTACTCTACTCTATCCCTGCATGTTTTAGGTTTTGGTGCAGTTATACATTTTTTTAAGTAAACCTGCACGCTTTAGTTTGGGGAACATTAAGACATACCCATATAAAATAAAGCACAGTGAAAATTCGTTGGCCGCTCTTGTGATTCAGTTCCCGGCCTCCTCTGATTGAAAACCCCGGCTACGTTTCTGACGATAGCTATATGAAAGCCTTAAGTTACCGTAAGCCGTTATTATGAGGGGCAAAGAAAAATCCTGCCGCGAAATATGTTGGGAAAAAATATCTTGCGCTGCACTTTTACAGGTGTAATCTTATTAATTATGTGTCTTATTATCCTGGGCGGAAAAAAGTTCTTGCACAGTCTGAATCTTCCAAAGCCCCCTTCCTCCCCCCCCCCCGCTTCAAAAATCAAATGGTCCGCCCCTTAGCAATACTTGTATGTAAAGTCATGCTAATAAAGCCATTTGTTACTGTTACTATTTGTTACTATTACTGGTCCGTCCATCCCTAACCTCCTATAAACCAATCATATTTCGTGACTGCGTGTTTCCATAATTTTGTTTCATTGCTTACATGAAGTACTTACCGTTGCATGATTGTGCGAAGTCCTGGTAACTAATGATGATTTCCCTCATGCAGACGTGGACATAAATGGCTGACAATTTCTACTTTGTATTTGTAAAATAACGTGATTTTGTACCTTAAAAAGAACATCTACGATTGGAAACATTAACGGAGTACCGTTTACAAAATGGTAAGCGTTTGATTAGAATGAAAGCGCGAAAGAAAATGGTATAATTTTCTTCGAACAATCGAATGGCTTTCGGTGAAATACTGTATCTTCGATTGTTCGATAAATTCAGTTTGGGAAATGTTATACTTATAACTTTGCATCGTACTTATAGGTTTTAGATGTAAATTTTAGTTGTATTTTCTGTGCATTAGGATATCTTGAAGTTAGATTTTATAATACTAGAGCTTTCAATTGAAGAAAAAAAAATAGAAAATTCAGAATTTATACTGAAATGTAACATATTTATGATTATGATTATAAAAGAAATGTATTACATCAAATTTTAAATGTTAAATCCAAAAATGCAAATTCTTTGTCTTAAGTTTGTTTAAATTATATCAAGAACTTTCCCTCGTGTGTTAAGTATTGTTTAATCAGTTGAAGTATGTGACCCTACATAACATTGCTTCATTTGTAAAAAGGCTTTTGCCCTGGGATAGTATTAAAATGCATGAATTAGGGTCTGTTCATATGAGCCCAGTTTGCCAGGAAGCTCATTTGAGTGGGATGAATTAATTCTGTTTTCATTAATGACTGTTTCTATCCCGTCTAACATCAGAACATCCCACCTTGGTTGGGACGAAATGATATGCGAACATGGCTTCTTTTAAATTTATGTTCTTTTAATTTTAGTGTTAGATCTGCTCCCGATTAATCAATCTATCGATTAATCAATTATTTTAAATTCCACAATCGATCATGCTTAATGGGTCATTCCAGAAAACATCCATACCACCCCCACGGAGGAAATTGGAATTTAAGTAGGGGGGTCCCCCTTCGGATGTCCTAATACATTTACTATTATCAGAAACAATTTTGTCTCCCCTCCCCCTCCGAATGGCAGAAATTTCCTCCGTGGGGGGGAGTGTGGATCTTTTCTGGAACGACCCAATTTAACAGTAATCAGATCATCTATAACACCACACAGCATGATGCGGGAATGTGTTACAGTAATAGGGATGAGCCGATTAATCTGCCAAGCCGATTAATCGGCCGATAATCGGCCAATTTTTAATAATCGGTAATCGGCCGATTATTTCTGTATAATCGGCCATTTGCCGATTATTGACCAGTTTCTTTATTTTCTACTAGAAATAAATGAAAATCTGTGTATTCATTGTGTTTTTTTGCATATGTTTGACAATTTTTCATGTTATAGAGTGGCATGCAGCTGATACACAAATACGTACAAATAAGATCTTGCATTTATCTCGCCTCTTCATCGCAAATGCAATTATTAAGTACGAAAATTAACACTTGTACATGTAACCCCCATGACCGGAAAACATTGTGTGCGCACGGAAGACCATTACATGAGATAAAAGAGAATGTCATGAAAACTTTTCAATTTGTATCCAGCTGTAGAAGGGAGGAAAAATGCTTTGCTACATTAGCTTCTCAAGTTTCATTTTAATGCTTAAAAGCATTTGAGGTTCATCAGGGCAACTAACGCCTACTAGCTGGTAAATGTGTTAATGGAAATAATCGGCTTTGGCCGATTCGATCACTGAAATTGCCGATTAGCCGATTCGATTAATCGGTGGCCGATAATACCAAATAATCGGCCGATTAATCGGCCAATCGGCCGATTATTTGGTATTATCGGCCACCGATTAATCGAATCGGCTAATCGGCAATTTCAGTGATCGGCTCATCCCTATACAGTAATTTCTTTTGGACTGATTAAAAAAATTGCGACAAGATTGTGATTGAAGCATTGATTCAAAGCATTGTGTGCAATATCAATTTCACTCGCAGCGTGCAAAGTTTACCATAGTCTGATCGGGTATTTTACCAATGCTGTGAGAGTATCTTTAAAGTTTGTTTTATTAGAAGAATTAGTATTACCATTTGCGTCCAACATTGCGGCGTATGGACATAAACCAATTATTCATAACAGTCTGAGTCTCGCAAATTTACTTAGGAGTGTCAAAGGTAAACAACTAAAGTAAACATCCTTAATATAGTCTCTGTCTTTTCATGCATGTCTCTTGTGTGAAGTGTAAGAGCGCGAGAATGTGCGCTATCTATAATTGTGATACTGACTGCAAAGTTTAATTACAATTTACAAACCTGTCAAACCACCATGGGCTTGTCATATTTAAATTAATTGTCAATACGATTAATTGATATTAATAGTATAATTACATAGAAATTTTCTGCTGCATCCAGAGTTTTTTGGCTGGAGGTGAAAAACCCCGGAGTTTGCACAACACTACTCAAATTAAATTATGAATGATTTTACTAAATGACCCTCATTGAGGGGTGGTCATTTTACTAAATGACCCTCATCGAGCGGCGCCGAAGGCCAAGGGAATTTTACTAAATGACCCTCATCGGGCGGGACGTTTTAATAGCTAATTCGCCTCTTTTTATGCTATAACTTATAAAAATACTCTGTTGGTATGCAGGAAATTTTTGTCTCCAGGTTGTGCTCCCAGGAAGAAAATTCTTTTTTCCTACCCTAGCATACAAACAGGCCCTTAAAGTTTTCCAGGGTAAATAAAATGACATTAATCAAAGAGCATAGGAGGAGTTCAATACTGCAGACATTCCAACTCTCCCGATTTTACCGGGAGTCTCTCGAAAATTCATGCAATCTCCGGGTCTCCCGATTTTTATGAAATTCTCCCGGTTTTTCAGAATATTCAGGAAATATCGTAAAAAATCATAAACATCCTGTTTTTAGCAACATAATAGTCTGTCTTGACCTTTTATGAAGTTACTTTATGGCAATTTATAGGATCACTTATAATAACATACTCCCAAAATGCAGGAAATGCCATTTCAGAAGACTTAATTTGTATTATTTTTTCCCAGAAGAACTAGATTTCAATTCATTAACAGTCTCCCTAAATTTTACCCTCAGTAGTTGGAATGTCTGATACTGTGCTTACTTGAGGTTGGGTTACTTGGCATCAATTTTTTTGCAATTCTTGCATATTGTTTTATGTATAAATTGTGTATTTATTTATGTATCAATGCAGGTACATTGCTCGATGATCGAGAAAGCAGTACCGTAATTTATCATATTTTCATCTATCTAGTCAGCATTTAACAGATATTAATGCTTCTGTTTTCAAGCAATAATTAATATTAATTAATTAAAATAATTTAATAATTTAACATTAAAATAATTAATATTAATAATCAATATTAATTTAATAATCAAGCATAATTAATATTAAAATAGTCTAATAATTTAACATTAAAATAAATGCTTCTGTTTTCAAGCAATCTTTCTTACTGTGTCTGCAATAATTAATCATGTTATTTTGTTTTTAGGTTCTGCTTGCAGCTGCGATCTGCACTAAAGCTGGAAAGGGTATGAAGACAACATTCCATATTGATTATGAACCTTCACCCATTAAGTTGCATTGTACAGATAGTATGCCCTACTTTATTATTTTACTCTGTCTAATGCCAGATGGATTAACCCAATGAGCACCAGTGCTCTCCCCTTGACGAGTAAAGTCACCCTGCCACTAGAAAGTAAAATTACTAAAATAATAAAGTGGGGGGAGGCAATGCAACTTAATGGTTAATAATGTGGAAGAGTGTTCCCTTAATGAGTAAAATAGTTTCGACTTGTGTAAGATGATAGCAGCTAGCAGGATCCGGTGTTAGCTACAGTTGTGAATTCAGCATTGTACATATGCTGTTTTCACAATTACGTTTAGCCAGCAATTTCACAATTTAGATCAGCCAAAAACATAACCTATTTTATATGTACATATAAAAGAGTGTTCAACTTCAAAACTTTCCTCAAGAAAAATTGGGTACCAGATAAGTGTTACGAGGATGTCATGTAACCTAAGATACACTTTACAGTATATATCTGTCTGTTTTTAGTACACAAAACAATGTCAGGTGTCTTGTACTTCAGAAGTTTCAATTTACAGTAGCTACACTAGACCACGAGAACGTCACTTAAGAAGCACAATATTCTTTAACTCCGGTCTGAATGTCACAGGCTAACTGAAATTCCCAATTTTATTAAATTGCCGATTTTTTTAATCTTCTGCCAAACACCTGGAAAAATGTCCCCTGCCACAGCCCTAAGTTGAATGCTTTGTACTGTTTGTGATACGTTTGGTATGTTCCAAAAATATCAACTTGTCAATATGGGCAACCTGAGATTTTGGCACTTCAGTTTAGTGTTGTAAAGGTCAAATTGCTGATATTGTAACCCAAGCAATAAAACAGACCCCCCCCCTCAGTAGTGGCCAGCACCCCCCTGAAGAAAACTCTGGTATTCCGTATTTGAGTTGTGAATACTACTTATTACAGTATATTGAAACAATTGATTTTCAAATACACAAGAAAATATTCAACCACCAATACAGCAGGTCGCCGTATAACGTAGCACTTTTCTCAATTTTCGCCCAAAATACTGTGAAGACAAATTTAACAAATAAATGTACCGGTAATGTTCAGAATGCAGGAAATGGCATTTCAGGGCTTCCAATTTCAAACATTTGGCGGGGGGATGCCCCTGAACACCCGTAGTAATGCACCCTGCCTGGAAAACCTCCATCCCCTCTTAAAAATCAGGCCAGATCTGACCCTGCCCGCTTCAGCTTGTCTGGAACTCATGAATGTTAACACTTTGTTTTGTTGTGTTTAGCAATCATTTCAAGACAATTTGTTGAAATGAGCCGTTCCAGAGTAGAAGGCTTGCTTGGTGCATTTCCAAAACTAATGAACACAGGAAAACAGCATACATTTGTTGAAACAGAAAGTGTGCGTTATGTTTATCAACCATTGGACAAACTTTACATGTTGTTGATCACAACTAAAGCTAGTAATATCTTAGAAGATTTAGAAACATTACGACTGTTTTCCAGAGTGGTAAGTGCCCAAAACCTTAGTACAGGTCACATGTGTATTGCAGAGAAATGTCCAATGTCCAATGCTATTCCTATTGTCATGGTTCAGTCAGAAACAGTGTCTTGTCCAGTTGTCATGAGTGCTACAGTATATCTCCGTGATCCTGCCATTCTCTTTGTATTGTAGAAACAATTGTGTTTGTTGTCAATTTTTAACATCAGATTATCAGTATGTACGTCAATGAAGACAATTGTATTGCTGACATGTTGATTTCGTAATTGAGGTTTTGTTGGCTTGCTTGTTGTTTTCCCATTACCATTAGCAACTGCATGTGCTCCCAGACCTTTGCTGCAGTGTGACAATTGAATTGTATCCTTTTGTAACGTTTTTGGCCAGGGGTGGAGTGATTGGATTTGAAGAATTTAATCCTCGAGATTTATTTGATCTTCGAGAATTTGGATTTGGATTTATTCAAAACTGACCTGATAATATCAACTTTTAGATCCCAGAGTATTGTCGTTCTGTGGAAGAATCTGAAGTGGTGGAAAAATCGTTTGAATTAATATTTGCGTTTGATGAAATCGTAGCACTTGGATACAGAGAAAATGTCAATCTTGCACAGATCCGCACCTTTACAGAAATGGACAGTCACGAAGAGAAAGTCTTCCAAGCTGTTATTGAGGTAAATGTTGCAAGTGTAAATATATTCTGTAGAACAATAGAAGCTTCCGATTTAAGTGACATCTTAAGTGCAAGCTTCTAGTTGATGACGTTGATCTACGACCAATATTAACATGCGATCACTCGGTGAACGAACAGCAAGAGGATATAGGGTAGTAGCACATGACCTAAGCACGACAGTTCTTTGGAGGGTATAGCTCTGTTGGAGAGGATCCACGCTACGTTTAGCAAGGCTGCAACCACGAACTGAAGTCAATTTGGCTGTCAAGTAGGTACTCAAGCTACCGACCAACGACTATCCCGGCTTGGCAAATCCCAATAATGCAGAGAATTCACCTCTCCAAAGACAGAACTATTGTCACACAAAGTGGAAACCGGAATACAAAGACGAACAAAAAAACACACAAATACTTACCCTTGGAAGTGACGGAACATACAACACCAAACAATAAATAATACTCCCTGACAAAGCAAAGATAACAATACCACAGCTGAAAAGAATGAAAAGCTCTGCAACGCAGTACGTGACTACAAAAAAGCAGATTAGTGTTAAAACCAATTTGAGTAACAGGGGGAATAATCATGCGGAATAGCTGGAGGTATGCCCGCGAGCGGGTGCGACAAGTAAGCACAACGAAAAAATATCCAACAGGACAACAATTGGCGTAATCGACGCGCACCCCCCAAAACACGAGATGTAACAACGTAAAACGCAATTATTACGTAGACTACGAGAACAAAGAACAAATTACTGAACACAATAAGCCACCCAGGGATGCGCCTTGATTGTCGGCCAAAACAATACATTACAGTACTCCAATTAACGATACAGGCTCCTCTGGTCAGCAGCGACCAGGAAACGCTGATACTACCCACACCGTTGGTTTGCAATAAGTTGAATAACTGAAAGCATAGAATGTAAAGCAACCCATAGAAGTCAAAATAAGCGGGCAGACACTCTCAGCAAGCGCGTTAGCACCAGCAGCACCCCCCAAGAAAACCAGTGTGGACAAGCAATGTCCTCCCAAAAAAGGGGCTGGGTGGGTGGGTGGGTGGGGACGTTGTGAACTTGAAGGTCTGCAAGCAATGAGCTATACCTGTGATCTCCACGGCTTAAATAATCTCGGTAAACCTGAATAATAACTAATATGAATATATAATTGATATATACATAAACAACACGCACCCATTCGTTCTCGAAGTTAATTATTTTTATTGCATAAATCATTTAACATGCGATCACTCAGTGAACGAACAGCAAGAGCATATAGGGTAGTAGCACATGACCTAAGCACGACAGTTCTTTGGAGGGGGTAGCTCTGTTGGAGAGGATGCACGCTACGTTTAGCAAGGCTGCAATCACAAACTGAAGTCAATTTGACTGTCAAGTAGGTACTCAAGCTACCGACCAACGACTATCCCGGCTTGGCAAATCCCAATGATGCCGAGAATTCACCTCTCCAACGCCATCCTCCAGAAGGGATTCGAGGCACGAACCCCCTCCAAAGGCGTTCCCAACCCCCAAGCGTAACCCAGACTAACCGTCCTGGATCCCACAAAACAATTGAATTTGCTAGTCGGAAACCCGATTAGCCCCCCCCCCCCCGCCGAAATTCGGTGAGGACGAGTGGAGTAACAGCCGCCACAGGGGTATTAACCCCTACAGGTACACGAGCTAAAGAAGTCACGGGCAATAAGCTGCAAAACAGTAGTATAATAATACAAACAAAATTAACGTAAATACAAACAGTACCGCTAAGTCACATAAGTAGCACGCCAAGTACGATAGTACCATGTCAATAAAGAAGCACATAGCAACACAGCAAATAATAGACGGTAATAGCAACAGACCAAATTAAAGTTTGAAATAAGAAAACTAAACTATATGTTCCCCCCAAACTGAGCCTGTATGCGCGAAAAGAGGAGCTGGCATTTTACAAGTCAACTGCTCGTCAGCAACAGTAGGAGACCATCACAAGGGTATATATATAGAGAGAGAACACCTGAACCCACTGAGTGATGTCATGATGGGGTCGCGAAGGATCCGATGGTGGGACACGACCACCCGGCCATCAATGGAAAGGACCGGACCGATTTAACTAAGAGGGTTTAACTAACAATGTTATATCTGGATCGTGACTAAAACACCGCATGAGAAATGTACAAATTGACCCGAAGTAATGGCCACGACCAACTTGTGTGGTATAGGCAAAAAACCCAGGGCCCACAACGAAAGCATCGGACAAAAGAGGAACCTGCCCCAACATACCTGACTCCTCCCACAAACCTGCACGTTGCATCCCCATAAGCTGATTGTTAGCGGCAGCTGGCGTTGGTAATGGCAACTCGGAGCTCTGCGTGAGGCCTAAAGCCTGCTAATGAACGGGATTCGGGAGCGCCTGCGGAAGGATGAGATTTACTAGCCCCTGCTCAGTGGTAGAAGGGAGTCAAGTGCGCACCTGCTGGTGGATGGAGTTTAGCGGCGCCTGCTGTGGGATGGTGTTTTATTATGTAAACGTGTAGCATGCAGGAGCAGTTACAACTATTGGCTCTCTAGCAGGAATCGAACCTGCGACCCTGCGATTCCGGTGCAGCACTCTGACCAACTGAGCTACAGAGAGACAGTTGTCGAGCTCTAACCACAAGTTCATGAATATATACTAAGGTGATGCCAATGTATGGTGTATGGGTAAAGATCAGGATTTTGGGCATCTCACATTCTCACTCGATAGAACTAATACACTGTAGTAGATGGAAATTTTCGATAACATTTATTACACCTAACCAGGAGAAGTCGTAATCGCAGGTTCAATAGACCTTATGCATAATGACGTCACAAGGCTTGATGCTTGCAAGGGATGCTGGATTAAACAATTCAAAATGGCCACTATCGAAATTTTCCCTGGCGATAACTACTAAGACCAGCATTCCTCGCAAGCATCAAGCCTTGTGACGTCATTATGCAGAAGGTCTATTCCTGTCAGAGGGCCTGCACTGCAGGGTTCGAAATAACGTTCTGAAAAGATGTAAAATTTTGTAGGCTGTTTTTTGTAGGTGGAAAATTTTTGCCGGCTATTTTCCAAGCGAAGTTTAGTTATGTTCTGGAGAGCGCATACGCCAAATAATAGTGATGTAAACCAATTAACACAACATTTGTAAGAACGCAGCAATACATTTTATTTGGTGTAGGAACAATAACAAGTTCTGTCTATATGTACGTGTTATTGTAAGCGAGTCATCGGTGAATAAATATTCTCGCCGATCCCCTATACTTTGAAATAAAAAATCGCCGGCAAACTCCTAAAATCGCCGGCAGCCGGTGGCTATTTCGAACCCTGTGCAGTATAGTTGTATTTTTCGCAACTGCTCCTGCTTAGGTGTAATAAATGTATTTAACAAATAGATAAGGTTTTGCTGTTGTCTGGTCAGTTACAGATACACAGTATGACGTCATAATGTGGGAAGAACAGAAAAGTGACTCACTCGCCTCGTCGCCACTTTTTTGTTCTTCCCACATTATGACGTCATACTCTGTATCTATAACTGAACAGACAACGGCAAAATCTTACCTATTTGTTTTATATAATAAAAAGAAAACCTCCGAATTAAACAGGTAAATAGCTTACTTTTTAATTTTTTTCCAAACATTTGGAAATTCGAAAAAAGTTGAAATTTTACAAATATCACGGGTACACGATCTATACCAATAAGGGAATGCTATTGGATAAGGTTTTGCGTGACGTAATTCGTGCGTCTGTCCTCTAATAGACCATGGCTCTCGACCAATGAAAGCGCTTGAATTCTTAACGTCCATCTACTAAACCCTTCAACAAGTTCGTTCTACCGAGTGCCCAAAATCCTGAATCAATATCTTTTGACCATAATGGTCCTTGCAACTTGCAATGCAATTCTACTCTTGAGAGATGTAAAATTGCCAAATACGAGTCTTCATTACACTCCGCTGATGTTTTCTCAACATATCGAAAATTCTTCACTGATATCACTAATTAACATCTCTCAAGAGTAGAATTGCGTTGCAAGAAAAGTGTAACATGGCCTTAAATGCCTTTACCTAATTACTGCCCTCCATTTCCCGTTTAGACTCAACAACGCGAAGCTAAGGAGGTAATGAAGAGAAAGGCGAAGGAACTTCAAGCAGCTCGTTTAGCAGCAGCTAAAGGCAAACCAACCGCACGTTCAGCCATGACAGGTTTTGGGGGAAATGGAAAGTCGAACGACGCAGTTCTCTCTGTGGAGATCACGCCTGCTGAATCTGTCGCACCAAAACCATCTAAACCAATCAGGTTTGTGTTGCAACTGTCGCATACGTAAATGCAAAGTTCAGCCTTCTAAATGACGGTTTTTAATGTGAATTTGTTCAGTTATTATTGCCGTTGGCAGCGAAATTGGCAGGACTATTTGTGAAATATATTATGTAATATGTTGTATTGCAATGCATAATAACTATTGTACTAAACAGTAAACACCGCTAAAAAAGAAAGTTCCCCGATAAATATATCAGCATGAAGTTCTAAACAAACGAGTCCCTGGTCATCACACCTAGCACTAATTAGACCAATGGTAGTTTGCTTAATGTAAATAGTGGGATCACTCGTGCTTGAAAGGAATGACTGTTACTCCATTGAATACAAAAATACACAATTGTTAAATTAACAATTAGAAAGACTTTACTGAACTTGCACACAACAGTAATGTTTAATGAATTATTCAATAATGGGTGTAACCACCACGCTTCTCGATCACCTCCAGGCATCCTCATGGTGTTGACGAGTCTGCTCACCAGCCGCTGAGGTATAGCCATCCATTCCTCCTGCAACAATTGAGCCAGTGTGCTGTATCATGTGATTCGACGATAGGCAGAGCACTTAGGGGGCAACTTTCGTTTTGTGCGGTGTTTTTTTCATGGTAGTAAAATACGTGCAGATTCGAAAAAATAAAGTAGTCAACCTTTGGCTTGAATTTGTGCTCACTACAGTATATCAAAGGAAGCGTTCACATTCAGTTAAGATCTAGATTTATTGCAAAATTTACGAAATTCCTCTCCCGTAGTATTCACAAACTGAATGAGAAAGTACTGATTTTTTTCAAAATTACATGGTGTGCGCATGCTCGCATCACATTAAAAACTATCATTCAAAAGACTGTATTGTGCGTTTAACAAAAAAATACGAAACTGTTGAACTGACATGCTAGCATACGTATAGTATTTTCTTTCATATATCAACTTAAACTGGTTTTTACTCAATTTCAGACCCGCGGGCAGCAACAAAGCAATGAAATTAGGAAGTAAAGGAAAAGATGTTGATCACTTTGTTGATAAATTACGTTCAGAAGGCACAGGTACCGTACAATACGGAAATAACTTCGATATTTGTAAAAGGTCACGCTTTTTTTCCTTTGTTGGATTGCGGATTCTGCTTTATATTTCGTATGCTCCGGTCGAGTATATGAGAAATAACTTCACCTCGATGTGGCACAACATGGATAAAACATTTTCTTGCGTCTTATTGGACAAGAGCATATCGTTCAGTTGTGGAATCCCAATCAATAAGTGTTAATTGTTCTTCAGTAGCACGTTGACCAGCAACTAAGCTTTTAAAATGTTTCATAAATCAGACCAAGTAACTTCGGATGTTTTAACATCTTTGAAATGTTCAAAAAGATAACATCGGATAACATCAGAATGAAAAATGTAACGTCGAAGAACTCGAGGACCAATTAATTGGTTCACTCTACAGAGAAATACTGTAGGGACTTAAATCAAGTGTATACTATACGTTTACCTGTATTACTGCTTTGATTTTTTTCCTAAAGCAGGTCTAGTCGTATGTTTTGAAAGTCTAGCTTCTCGTATAGGCGAGTTTCACTGTATCTGAATTGGGACGTGCAGTAATTGTATATTGTTTCTGTTTATGTAGACATAGTGACGTCATCTGGAAAGCGTACGACTGCTGTGAAACCCTCACAAACTGCTGTACCTACTTCAGGGTAAGTAAGGCAGATGTGGTTACCATGCGGTTACCCTTATCGCTGAGTTAAACTTGCTACTGTAGGTCGAGCCACGAACTTGTTACGCTTGAAAACTCTGGAAAACTCTTTCACACATATACTGTACTTTATGGGAGAATCTTAAGAAACCAGTATATCATTATTATCGTACTTATCTGTCATTTGAGATCGTGAAGTGTTGTTAAAAACAGTGTTGTTCAGGGTTGTTCAGATCTGGGCAATGTTGAAATATGTTCAAAAATTTTCCATTGCTTCTACGCACTTTTGAGGAACATTTGAAAAAGGCAAGTTCAGGATCCGACGAACATTAAACACTTCCAGTCTGAACTCCCGTAAGTAGAGTTGTGGTGAGTCCTCTCCTGTGCTTCGAGGGTTTTCTCCAATTTCTCCGGTTTAACGTGTATGCTTTGTAACGAACTTGCCAAACTGAATTACCATTTTATGGGGTTTTGTCTTCAATTGTACGTAATTGGAGGATAAACTCATTTGAGCGGAAGAGGGAGGCACCATATTCATTTGGAAACTTTTAATGAATCCATCAACCTTTAGTAATGAGGGTAACGGCACGACAGTAAATCTGATAAACCTGCGGCCATCGTAACTAGAAAACTTACAAGTGAACGAAGACTAGACTAAAATAGTAAGAAATTTAGAAAATATATTTCGCAATTTGCAATACTGCTTGCTTTAAAGTTTAAACCCGCCATATTTGGTTTATTAGCTCACACGTGCTAAATACTATATACAGTATCATATTTAATTACGGTCGATGTAGTGTTGTATTTTGCTTGATGTAGAGTACATTTGAAAATTGATGAAAAGATCGTGCTAACTGCTGGCAGAGATGGTGGTCTGCAAAATATGGAAGTTCGTGGCTTGATGCTCCTCAGGATATCCGAAGCTGAATATGGTCGAATTACTATCGCTGTTGATAATGATGATAAGTTAGGATTTCAAATGCAGGTTGGTCGACGTGGTTTGGTTGCAACCCATCCACTGATATGTTAGCATTGAGGCGTACCATCCCACACTAAACGAAAGGAAACGAAACTAAAAAACGAACTTATATTCGTTTCTCCGTTAGTCCATTCTCGCCATTAGAGAGATCCCTTAGTGGTCTATAGTGCTATTATAAGAGTAAGCCAGGCTACCCAAGGAAAACCAGTTTGAGGCAAGGTGAAAGCAATGTCTTCCAATATGCGCCTTAGGCAAGATTATAAAGACGAAACCGCAAATTACAAAACTCCAACTCCTGCAGGGTTAACGAAAAACTTCAAAATAAACATTCCAACGGCTTGTTTATAAACTTGGGAATACTTTCCAAGAAAAATCTTGTCAGGATCAATACAAGTCTTATTTTCTGAAGTTTTGAAATCAAAAAACGTGTAGAAAACACACAAACTCCAACAGCTGGTTAAACAAGACGCGTGCTTATAGGCGTTGACTCGGGGTAATGGAACACTGCAATCAAACGTTTGCGCATGTGTACATAATTTGTGAAAGGACAATCAATAACAAAATTAAGCACCTAGCGGCTAGCTGGCACTAATGAGGAAAATTACACACACAGTTGATAATTTTCTAACAATTTATTACGCTTTGCAAGATCTATTCGGCTTTATCAGCTTTTTAATGGTAATTCAATACTCTCTCAAAGGTCTGTGAAGTCGCTTTTTACACACAAACATCAACCGTCCAACGCTAATTTGTAAATTCCTCTATACGTGTTGTCGCCGATAAATTAAATGCAAACCCAGAAAATTATGTATACCTTAGGGAATGGGCTATACATTGTCATGTAAACACGGCTAAAAATATTAAAATTAGGTATACCCATCTCGCCGTTCGCGCTTGGATTGTACTTGGATTGACTATGACAACCCTAATTGAAATATCTGTATAAAAAATAAACAATAGTGCAAGTGCTACCTATCTTTAACAGAATATATGACTGCTTTACATATATTTATGGCAATCAAATCTTTATTAAAATTTGCACACTCGGTGTTTGTACTTTGTACATCTTCGACGCCATATTTGCAAAGAGCGAAGACGAACAATTGTGCGAAGATTGGCTGCAGATTAGACTCGGCGTACCCCGAGTAATAACCCAGGGTAAACGCTGATCGTTCTTTGAACAACCGGTCCCACTGAAATTTCGCGTTCTTCAGGACGTCAGATGTAAACCCTGATGGAAATATTGGGTATGCTTACCCGGCCGGGTAAGCATACCCAATATTTCCATCAGGGTTTACATTTGACGTCCTGAAGAACGTGAAATTTCAGTTCGGCATCTCTTGTTGTTGTGGCCCGTTAGATATGTACGAAAGAGCCGGTCTCTTCGTTATACCAGGCCTTAAAATATCTTTTCCAGGGCCGTCTGACAAAATGTCCGGTGACGTTGAGTTTGGGTCGGACATATGTCCGATGACCTTCAATTCAGTTTTGACTTGGAAATAAGTCTGAATGACACAAATGAATAAACGGTAAATGTTGTAAAGATATTAAATAATTTGTTTCTTTCATACTTATTTCCAAGCCAAAATTAACTTGCTTGCCAGAACAGCAGTATTAAAAAAAACTTCGACAAGCCCGTTTTCCACTTCACCATTTCGCTCGCCGCCCCGCGCTCGACTACGTTAAAACATTTCCAGTTCACCTTTTATACAATAGTACTCTGATTTTCTATTTAACATACAAGCCTCTAGTCCTGGTCTAGGGTACATTTTGATTTACGTCGGACAAAGCTACAGTTCGGTCAGACACCAATACACTCGGGTCGGACAAACAATAAACCTCAGTTTCACTTTGGTCGGACAGAATGTCCGGTGGTTTCCTCTCTACGTCGGACAATTTCACGAATGGGTCGGACAATGTCCGTGACCGACCGATATTTTAAGGCCTGTAAGTTATACAAGTCTCACTTTCGCCCCATGACTTGCTGGTATATATAGTTTATATTGATGGATTTCTGTGATTAATGCCCGTAATCGCAGGGCCACAGGTTCGATTCCTACCGAATGGACTCACATAAATATGTAATAATAACTGTTCAATAATATTTTGATGTTTTTGCCTTAGACGCATCCAAATGTAGACAAGAAATTATTCAATCAGGACTCTGTTCTTGGCCTCAAGCAATCTGGTAAACCATTCCCTCTTAACGCAGACATTGGTGTATTAAAATGGCGTCTGCAAACTAAGGATGAATCGTTGATGCCGTTGACAAGTAAGTACTCGCATCCATCATACATTAAGATGCCAAATCTGAGCTACTAGAGGTTTTGCGTGGCATGGGGACATGGCCAGATTTTAAGGATAGCTGTTTCTGAGATTCTTTGCACCACCCCTGAAAAGTTATGCACCTCCCCTTTGTGAAGGGTTAAATGATAAGTGAAAATTTGAGGAATTTTTTATGTGTTGCTTGGGGTCTGTACTTTGTAGGAAAGTATTTCTGCAAAATTGAAACAGTGATTATTAACGTGATGAAGGGCAAAATTGGATGAGTCGTACAGTCATAATTCATAAATACACTGATAGATACTGTATGTACAGCACACGCATCCGTCACATAGTTGACTTTAGAGGGGTATGTTCTAGGCCCTAACATTCCATGGGGGCCGTTAGCTAGACTACTGGTTAGCGACATGGGGGAGGTTGCCCCCTTCCTGGTCCTCCTCCTCTAGGTGGCTTTGTTCAAAGCTTTGTGTGCATATGTGTCGAGTAAGCCATAACGGGTTCACCATGTGTTCTTCTGTAATGTTTATTTAGTCAACTGCTGGCCCTCGGAGAATGATGGACAATGTGATGTGAATATCGAGTATGAATTACAACAGGAAGAAATGGAGTTAAAAGATGTCACCATAACAATTCCTGTACCGTAAGTATATTCCGTCACACGCTTGACTATATGTAGTCATTTGACAATCACATTTCTCTTCAATAACTCCCTTCAAATTTTGCATGGCGATATTTCAGTATTTTTGCACAAGTGAATATAACAAATCCTACAAGTTGATTGGTCAAATTTGACGTATTATGCTGTTATATTAACCTACAGGTGAATATAACAAAACCGAAATTTGCGAAATGGCGGCCAGCCGTTTTGTGGAAGTTACTGATAAAGAAATAAGCGAAATTAAAATAAATTCAGTCCCAAAAAAAACACAAAAAAAAACAACACAAAAGACTTGTGTAAAAATACTAAAACAATTATTCGCCTCAGGCTCGGTGATTATCGGGGAATATTCACCTCGACTTCGTGTCGGTGAATATTCCTCGATAATCACCGAGCCTTCGGCGAATAATTGTTAATTAGCATATACTCGGGAGGTGGATAGCACTTTTCGCGCAATTTGATTGGTTCAGCTCCGGATATCTTTGCACTATTCACCTCCAGACAAAAACAAAATGGCTTTCCGTTTCGTTCCGGTTTATACAGACGAGATAAACGCCTCCTACTCTAAATTTTATTGGGAACCATGCACATATAGAAAGTATCCTGGGTACGAGATTGACGTGGATCTTATGGGTGTTTTTTCTGTACCTTACACATATCATGATACATATAGGCACGGTGTGGGTGCTCCAGTCGTGGGTGAAATCGAAGGTGACTATCATTATGACCACAAACATTCAGTACTAGAATGGCAACTTCCAGTCATAGATGAATCAAATCAATCAGGAGCGATGGAGTTTTCAATATCAGGACATCCTGACGATTTCTTCCCAATTCACGTATCATTTGGATCAACTAAATCATTCTGTGATATCAAGGTAAGCCTGCTGATATTTGAACATACCTCAACTACGTCTGTAGCCTATTTTAAACACCTAAAAATATGTGAACAATGAAACCAGGGCTGCAAATAGTATCGGACCGCGTGACTATTGGTTCCAGAAATGTTTTTGAAAATATTTCCCCTAAAAAGAGAAAAAGATTATTGTAAAAGTTCAGATAAAAGGAAAAATTCAGGGAGATTGTAACCTACAGAAAGAATGATACCGGCACTGTAGGCATGATTATAATTGCATCCATTTTAATAGTACAACAGTGTAAAAAGAAAGTAAAATATTTTTCCATCCTTGAATGAAACCGTAGGTTCCGACTTCTATGGTTTTGTTTCCGAGACATGTATTGCCATGCTGTATATAAGCGAATGCCTTATTGTTCTATGTATCTTTCTTAGATAAAAGATGTCAATGTAGTAGAAGACGGAATGCCTGTGAAGTTCTCGAGCGAGATTTTGTTTTCTGTGGAAAAATACGAGATAGCCTGAGAATATATATAGTCTACGTTAAAACTCCAAGACACGCCATATAAGCAATCATTTCCGAAATCTTTAAGAAATTTTAGCATGTCTTGCTGTTTATTTTGAGAGCAAGACATGGGGCGCTGAAAAGCAATGGTGAATTAATTAAACACTGGCGGACGCTAAGTGGCGGCAGTTCCCCGCACCCACGATATTTTTGAAAACCTTCGAAAGATAGCTCATTAAGTATCAGTCTTTAACAATATTTTTTCAACAAGAGAGCATGATTTTTTGAGATATTTGTGCGTCACCTTTAAGCCACAGAAACACGACAAGAATAAGCTGGAAACCAACACTCACGAAGTTGTCCGCCATTGGAACTTACCATTGTTTATAGCAGTTTTACGTGTACGCGACCACCTCGCGCGCAAAAAAGTTTATGGTAATAGTTGCTTTTGACGTTTAGGCGTGGTCACTAATTCGTTAGAGAGTTAAGTTCGAGTTCCAATACCGATATCGATGTCTTCACTTTCGTTCTCATTTTGGTACAGGGAATTTTAAAGCGTTAAGTTATCACGACAGATAAAGTATTGAACACATTACTCGTCACCGAAAATGTGCGGTATACTACTAAACGGCAGTTGAGCTAAAATTCCGAAAACATGATTCAGGCGATGCTAATAAACAAATAGTTTCGTGTTTATCAAAAAAACTATGAAATCCCCGATTTGTACGAGTTTATCTTACAATTCCCACGACTTCCAAACCAAGGCCGACTTCGGTAGTGGTGACTTCCAATACACTTGTCTTCGTGCTTCTTGCTAGCAGAGCGCATGCGCATGACCTGTTGTTAGTATCGGTATTGGTATCTACTATCGGAATTCGAACTTAATACCCCTAATATCAGAAACGTGAACAACTGGCCATTACGATGAGTCATCGCGTATAATTATAAAATTATTGAGTCGTGATCGCATTGGCGAACTTGTTCAATTGTTGACGTTTCAAATATTAGGGAGCTTTAGCAGCGCGCACGAGTTTCGTGGTCGTTCTCGTTTCCGTTCAAATGTTGCTTTAGCAGTAAAGAAACAACAAAAAATAAAGTTTCTAACTAAATCTCATGCAAGCTAAAATCCCCTACAAAATTAGCCCCTACTACGAGGAACAATACACGAATTAAAGTGCAAATAATAAGTGAGTTTAAAAACAAGCCAGATATTTAGTATTAAGTAGAATATTTGTCATTTGTTTCACAATTTTAGGCTTACACTTCGCTAAAACGTTGATTTCAAAACTTAATTATTTTTCAAATATTCAAGGATACATAATCTTCCTTGAGAGCATAAACCGTAAAGCCATATCCCACAGAAGTATGTAAAAAATTGAAGCTATAGGATTTCGCGAGCGACTCGAAAACAACAATTACCATCAATCGTCTTTGCGTGAGGTGGTCCGCATATCATGTAAAACTGCTGTGAGTTGCTTTGAACATCGCAATTAACATTGTATAGGTACACGTTGGTAAATTTGGGAATGTAGATTCACTTTATAGTAATTTCATTATTTGTGTGAGATATACCAATCCAAACTTCATTGACCATATATCAAGGGGGGATACATCCTTCTGGAAAGTACTTAGATTTCGAGATTGAGATATCGGTTTAGAGTCTTGTTACAGGTGACACATTTACGTAATCATACAGTTATACTAAATAATATAAAAGACCTTCATATTATAATTAAGTCGTCGGTAACAAGAATAGGGATAAAGGAATATATAAGGCCGACATCTCAATCCCGAAAACGAGGCTCTTGAGCCAAAGCTAAATACTTTCCGGAAGGGTGTATTTGTCAAACATCAAACGCGAGGCTGTAATTTAGAAAGTGGATGCAGACCCGAAAACGGATTCCAATGCGTAAAATACTATTGTTTTGCGACAAGTAATTTTCCAATATGGTCAAATAATGATACCACGTAAATTTCATTACGTTCCAAGCTAATGCTCAGTACACACGTGACAACGCACAACTTGCAACAAACCTGCAGCAAACATGTACCAACGCTGTTCTAACAAATTGCTACATGTCTGCAAACCAATAAGTTGTAACAAGCTTGATGGCAACAAGTTTGCTACAAGTTGATAAAATAACAAGTTTGTTAAGCTTGCTACAATCTTGAAATCAACAATTAAGTTTTCAATAAGATGGGTTTTGTACATGTATAGTGGAATGGTTTAGGCGTTTACCTTCCACGTGGATAGTCGATTTATCGAAGCCCCAGTCTGAAACGAGAATGAAAGTTGGGTAATCGTTCCATGTTTTTGCGCACCAATATAGTAAACGTTATGTAATGGATATTATAGTCTACTGAAAAGTTAACTGGATACCTCCATACACATATATACTAACCCTAACCCCAACCTTAAACCTAACCTAACCCCTAACCTTAATACCTAACCTATACCTAAGGTTTCAGGTTGTTATTACCCTTGATTGAAGCAACCAATTTTAATCGCGTGAAAAATCAGTCGCGCCGGCACGCCAAGAAAGTTGAATGTAGTTCAACTTTCATGGCGTGTCCGCGAGCAGTCAGGCAGCCAAAAAAATGCACAGGTTAGACAACTAGAGAGAAAGTTGAGCAACGTTCTCTCCGCCCGCGCGGGCAAAGCGACTGCAATGGAAATCGGTCTTTAAGCGTTGTGCAATGCCGTAGTTGTTGAAACTTGTACGTGATTTGCATCATTTCACGGTGCATGACTACGATAACAGTTAATTCGTTCGATGTTATTTGAGGTGTTTTATTTGAATTCGCGGACTATTTTTACTTCAAGGGCTGTTTGAGAGAAACGGGAATACTTATATTAAAGAGGCAAAGTAAGTGTAGTAACGTAGACTTTGCCTCAAATACAACAATATAAGCAATTATATTTTTGCCGTTCTAGGTTGCCAAACTCCCTATTACCAGGGATGGATCCAGCATGATCTGGTAGGGGGGATGGGGGTGCTCTGCCAGCTCTGGTGCGGAGTTGTGTCGGTAATGTGTGCCGCCCACCTATCAACTTGCTTCACTACTGCAAAGTTTTGCTTGACTACTGTATTTGAATTGTAATTGTTGTTCACAGTTCACTTATCATGTTATTACTGAAATTATAGTTGCTTTAAGAATGCGTAGTCATTAATATTCACCTGGCTAGCCGACTTGACTACTCGGCGATATTGTGTTCCCCAGACCTCCCCACTCTTTCAACGAATGTAAATATGTCATTGCAATGAAAATGAATTCATTGAAGGTAACACACAACTTTTTAGCATTTAAGTTCATTTTCAACCATTTATTTATAATGTAGTCTTTTTTTATATTTCTGTTCGTTGTTCGTAATTTCAGTTCACTGCTGAAACCTAATTATAGTAATTATAAAATTTTAATGCTTATATATACAGTAAATAATAATGTAACTTCAGTATGATCTTTCATTGAGAATTTCTGAATATACATATGACACTTCTTGATAGCCTCCTCCGCAGGCATCGCCTTTAAATTGGCGGGCATAATTTGGTTGCGGGCCAAACAATTGACCGACTTTCCAAAGCCAACTGTCCACGAGTAGTCCAGGTGAACCACGAGATGCCTGCGGAGGAGGCTAAGGCATGCTCCGATTTACCAATAGGCTTACCGTGCAGCCTGTAGGTCCACATTGGACGGCTCACCTTTTGGAAAGTAATTAGATACAAAATTTCACCAAACATTAGAAATGAGGTTCAGATCAGTTTACATTCATATTGTTACATTTCGCTGAAGATGTTATGCACATTCAGCAAGTCTGTTTCTGAGAACAAAAATGAAAATATTTGCAAGCAGCAGTTTCCCTGATCCGCCTAGTAACATTTATCCTATCTGTGCCGAAAATTGGTAAATCCGGGCGTGGTTACACTCACCATGCGACCAGACATTGTCCGCCATTATTGGTTGGCAAACTGCTCGGCAACACTACAGAGGATGGCAAAAAGTGAAGGAGTGAATTAGTCAAGCAAATTGAGTTTAGAAACAATAGTACTGTGTTAACGTCTAGTTTTCCCGTGCAGTTTGCCATCCAAAATGGCGGACAAGTTCTGGTCGCATCAGTGGAATGATAAAGTATAATCGACTTCGAGACGTCACGCCCTTGCATCGCCTCGCCCCCAAATTGCTAGGTTCCAGTCTTTGCTGAAATATAAATAGAAGGCCCAAGGTCCAAGTTGGTCATACAGTATACTACAAATAAGGATTTTTCGCAAACGTTTCACGTACTAACAAAGAGTATTGGCAAAAGCTTCGCGATATTTCTTGATTCTCCACGCGTATACCACGGGGTTCAATGCAAAGTTCAAACTGGCAAACGACTGTGCGTACCCATACCCTATGACGAAGGACTGGGTACGAACCGTATCCAGAACTCTTCCGCCAGACAGTTCGTGGATTAACCACATTTGCAGGTATATAACAAACGGCAATTGAGTAATAATCAGCACTACGACCAATATGACGACAACTCTAGACATCTTGTCATAAGGTAGCGGGTACAAAACTCGTTGACTGTATACTGTTCGATTTGAATCAACTCTTGCGATAAATCTTCCTTTCTCGCGCTTTCTCAATGCCGGATAAATCAACAAACTGTTGAATATAAAGATAACGATGGACAATTCGACAAAACTCAAGATCGCCAATCGCGTTTCCAGTTTGTAAAAATGCATAAGAATCCCTCCCGCTACTGATACAACCCACAAACTGATGATGCTGATAATTGTTCTTCGGACAGTGAGAATATAAGACCAGCTTAGGGAATATAGAACAATTACGAGTCTGTCGATGGACATCATTACCAGAGTGTAGAATGAACATTGCATTGTTATCCAGTTAAAAATGACCATCAAATCTTCGCACGTAGCTGTCAATTGTATGTTGAATACACGTGTCATCACCAAAAATAGAATAATTACGCCGGTCAGGAAGTCCGCGATTCCCAGGTTGATGATGTAGTAGGTAACGCGCATGTGCAGAAATGACTTTCGTTCTTTAGCCAGAACAAGAAGGAGGAATCCATTCAGAAGGATGGATATGAACGCGATAGAAAGACCAATAACATACGGCGTAATCTCGGTGTCTTCTCGATGTCCCTCTGTCCCATTACTGATGTTCGAAGTAGCCATGTGTCCAAACAGATATCACACTGCTAAAAAAATATGATGATTTTTTAAAATTCGCTATACACACGCAAATGAACTTACGCTTACCAGAGCACGACACTTCAATCCCACCCAGCAACGTTTGAAAAACTCGTTAGCCCAAATCGGGTCTTGTAAGTAAGTACCTTCTAAGCTGGCCATCCCTTTGTTTCTGATATGGATAAATGTCGAATTGTTATGTAATTAATATTATTTGAGATCCTGAAAATGTTTGAGAGAGCCTCGAAGATTCAGAATCTGCTAATTATAGCTACAAAAACTTTGTGGGAGCCTCAAACTCGCCGAACCTCAACCGCGCTAAACAAGCTTTCCTTATCTCAAAAGATTGACATTTTACTAGATTACGAATTTTATCAGGTACTAAAAGATTCAAAACAAATTTTTTAATAATTCCTGCTGCGTCGTCATTGGTCAGAAGATCACATTTCCACTATTAATAACCATAATTTAAGTAATATGATATCATATCATATCATATCATATGTATAGCATGGGCGGCGTGAGTGTTTCTGATACAAAACGGAACAAAACCCAAATGCTGTATATAACTTAGTAAAAGTATGCAAGGATCTGAGAACTGATATCGAGGAACTCGAAAGTTGAGGTTATGCAAATCACGAAAATTCTATATATGTATTAAAAATGCATGGTTTCTTTTGCATTTTTTCCCGGTTACTGCAATTATTAATGAGTTTTACAAATACAAATACGTTAGAAATCCTTCCTTGGTCCGGGAGCCTCGTTCTCGTGAGTGAATATCCCTTCATCTTGATTCCGGCATAAAGCCCCGCACAGACGAGCAATTTTTCCTTGACAAGTTTCTTGCCAAATTTATTTTCTCATGTGCACGACAAACAATTTTTTGATCAATTTTTCCGTGACCAGTTTTACGAGCCTGCATGTTGCCGACACGTGGAAAAACTTCATGTATATCTACTATATAGGCCTGAAGACGAATCAAACTTTAATACTGCATCTTCAAATCAAAGCATTTCATTTCCTGGTTCAAAAGCTGGCATGACTAGCTTTTGAACCAGGCGCATTTTGCCATACACACGAACAAATAAAACTTGTCAAGGAAAAAATACTCGTCTGTGTGAGGCTGAAGTGCGAGACTGCCAAGAGTTTTCATCCAAATTTAACCAAATATTGTTTGGTTATCGTGCTGACATACAAGCACAGACAGACAGACAGACACTGGCCAATCTCGTTCCCCGAGCCTGCGATCCTCGGGAAGGAACGTGAGGCGCTGGGATAATCCGTTGCCGGAAGCCGGGAATCCTGGCTAAGATTGAACTATAATTGAACTAACTCATTCCATTTCAACCGGCGGCCAATCAGTTTCCTCCCTGAAACGGACTATCCCAGAGCCCACCCGTTCCGCACGTTGTAACCAATAGTTTATTGGCGTTGTAATGCCATTGTATGCAATAAAGTATTGGGTTGTAACTGAAAGTATTGGGTTGTACCCGGAGGGGTAGCTGGCCGGGGTTAGGGTTTGCGGTTAGGTTGCGGGGTTAGCAGGTGCGGTTAGGGGTTAGGGGTTAGAAGGTGGGGTTAGGGTTAGGGGTTAGGATTAGGGTTAGGGTTAGGGTTTGAGTTAGGATTAGCGTTTGGATTAGTTGTAAATCCATTGTAACCAATACCTTATTGCATACAATGGCATTACAACGCCAATAAATTATTGGTTACAACGTGCGGAACGGCTGCAGAGCCTCACGTTCCTTCCCGAGGATCGCAGGCTCGGGGAACGAAATTGACAGACACTGGCATACAATTATTCAAACGCGAATGAAAAAATCTCTGTGGCGAGCTTATTGCATTTCATCTTATTTCATAGTCGTAAATCTTTACATAGTGTAACGTGGTTTTTTCAAATATGAAAAGAGTCGGTCAACACTCTGCCGAAAGTCGTGGGTTTTCTCCGGGTGCTGCAGTTTCCTCCCACAGGGCAAGTTGGCAGGGAAAAAACAGGTGGGAAATTTGCTGTCGCTGGCCAGCAAATTGCGGGCGCTAGCAAAAATTTTATTTTAAATTATTAAAATAAGCAAAAACATGTTTTTGGGCTTCTCGTTTGGGACGAAAACAGCGGATGTGCAAGAATTTAAGTTCGTTTATTCAAAGGCTGTTGAAAAATGTCCTGGATGAAAGACTTTAATTAAACTGAAATTATTTCTACGACGAAATATTGACGAAATTTAACTTTTTTCGATGATGCAAGTTGTTTTCACTCCCTGGACAGATGAAATTAAAAAAATAAACTCAGGGTGGGTTTAGAATTTGTTTTTAACGCATTTTTCTACTCAGAAATATCTTTAGAAAGTTTATTTATGATTAAATCTTTGAAAACACTTAGTGCAAAAATCGTGATTTTGCTAAAAATAGGAAAAAGCTAAATTTTCAACTTAAGATTGTAAAAAATCTAGTCGAGAGCCTCAAAACGAGACTATCTCTAAATTATTCTTCAAAGATTTCTTAATTCACTAATCAAAGTATTGTTCATATGAAAATACGGGTTGATATAAAAAACGGCACAACCGTCTAATGTAGTCTGCAATAGTCTGAATAGGTGCCTCTGAATATTCCGCTAGAAATTGCGCATGTTTGCTAATCCTGTTCGTAAAAGCATATTCGTTGAAAGATTAGAGTCTATTGATTCAGAAAATATGAGCAGTTTTGAAATCATGCGAATACGTCTCCATCTCTCTCCAATTTAATATGGGGTGATTTATGGGAGTAAAGGTTAGCCCAATGAAATAAAAAAACTAAAATATTTTAAAATCTAGCCGAGAGCCTCAAAACCAAATATGGTTTAAACTACTCCTTAAAACATATACTTTATTTTGGGAGATAATTCATTCATCTAAAAATACGGAATAGTAGGAATTATTGGACATTTCCATCGGAATCCGCGGCAGTTCCGATATATAAGGTTACGCAAAAGTTGCAATTTTATAAATATTTTTAGCCTGTGAACGTTTTCATACCTTCCTCGCCTTCTCAACAATGCAATGGACTAACAATTTTTTGGTTAGAAGAAAAAACGAGACAAAAACGCAAATAAAACGCTCAAAAATCAAAATACTGTATTTACTCGCCCCATGTCTCTTTCTCTTAAACCGCGCAAAATGTAGCGCATGCGCAGACAAAAGACAGGGTGGTTTAGGATAAACACAGTTAGGAAAGTAATAGGGAGCTTTAGATTTGACTACGAGTACGACTACGAGTACGAGATTCGTCAAGCTAAAACGTATGCTGTATGCTTACGCCATCCCGTACTGACGCGAAAAAATCGTAGCCGTCGCCCATCTGAGAACGAACTTGCGGATAAATCTCGTAGTCCTCACGACGACTTTTCAAAAAAAACAAAGAAAGTTGACTTTTTTTTGTTTTCCAAAAATAATTTCTAGCATTTATATAGCGTTTATCCGGCGCAAATAATATATTAGTACTAAATATCTGGCCTGTTTTTAATGTTATGACTTATTTTCACGTTTTGTAGGGGATTTTAGTCTGCAGGAGATTTAGTTTATGAAACTTTTTCTCTAGTTGTTGGTTTACTGCTATAAAAACAACATTTGAGTGAAAACGAAAACGACTACGGTAATTTCCTAGCACGCGCTCAAATCTCGTACTCGTAGTCGTACTCGTAGTCGTACTCGTAGTCAAATCTAAAGCTCCGTATTATCTCAATAGACCGTTCTCCTTTTAAGTGAAATTTTGATCTATACTAGCTTGGACAAAAATTTCATCACAGCTTGAAAGAGCATCACAAAATTAGTAATATTCCGAAGTTTCATTGCGAAATGTTGTAAAATGCGGATAATATAGCCTTGCGAAGTTTGCCGTTTTTCAGTCATTTTGTATTACGAACGGGAAATTGATAATCAGTTTGGTCATCTGATTACCAATTTTCCGTTTGTAATACAAAATGACTGAAAAACGGCAAATTTCGCAAGGCTATATTATCCGCATTTTACAACATTTCGCAATGAAACTTCGAAATATTACTAATTTTGTGATGCTCTTTCAAGCACTGTGATGAAATTTTTGTCCAGACTTGTCTTGATCAAAATCTCACTTAAAAGGGGAAAGGTCTATTGTTGTAAAGATAAATAGTCTAGGCTAAGTAAGTAACAAAAAAATAATCGTAATACTTTATGTAATCGGTCACTGAAAAGCCCCAATGGAGAACGAGCTGAATAATAATGTAAATCATCTGCTAAAAAAATGTTTTCAGAGTGTCCCGACTCCCACCGTGAGTCGAACCCAAGGTGTCTGCTTTAACGTACCAGCGCTCTAACCACGGAGCTATTGGGTCGCCCGATCGAGACCGTAAACATTATGGTCAGTGGATTAGATATCCCGGCTTGGGTGGATGGATAATAGTTCTCAATCGAGCGATCCCAATAGCTCAGTGGTTAAGCCGGTTTTCCGGCGCGCGGAGAAGAATTTTTCTTTGTCTTGTGATTTCTCGGGTGGATCTAAAGGCCATTTTCCACTAAGCGGAATTTTCCGCGCGGAGCGGAATTTTTCTTTGCCTTTTCTAGTTAGTTGCACCCGAGAAATCACAAGACAAAGAAAAATTCCGCTCCGCGCGCAAAATTCCGCCTAGTGGAAAACCGGCTTAATGAAAACCCGCTTTAGAGCGCTGGTATGCTAAACCAGAGACCCATGCCCATCAGTTCGATTCATTCTTACACAGTTTTATCCAGAACAGAGAGACATAAGCAATCTTTTATTGCAAGATCTAGTAAATATATATAAATCTGATAACATTCAACTTTGTCTTTTAACTTAACCTTTTTAATATCAGTTTTTAATAGTAATTATTGATCTTATTTATTATGACTCAATGTAAATCCATTGTATTTTTAAATCCCAAAGATGGATATTAATAAATTAATATATTAATTCCCGGTTGGTGGCATACTCAGAAAACATTTTTCAGCAGATAATTTGACTCCATTTGGAAAAATCCCTCGTTACACTCTATACCGCTGAAGGACAACAACCAACAAGCAATATATTCTTCACATGCATGGTATGTTCGCTCAAAACACCAAACCGGAAGCACAACAAAAACAATACAATATAACTTATAATTACAAATGTTAATAAAATGTGTTCAGTCTCAACATAACCTCCTAGCAGACGCGTAACAAGAAATAGGTCAAAACAACAGTCAACTCCGAAAATAAACATTTTGAATATTCTAGGCTTTTCTAGCTTTCAACCGTTGCTTGTATTTTGTAAAAATACTCCGTGGTTAATGATAGTTCATGCTGTTACAACAATGTCAGTGTTGCAACACACCACACACAGGTATCTATGAGTTATTCTGTTAATTAATCGATTATTAAGTAACAGCTACCGTTTTTCTTATAAGCGCTACACTAAACTGAGTTAAATTGTGGTAAGACATTTACTTGCGTGTGACCACATAATGTGTATATGCACTTTGTTGATTTAAGCTTAAACACATACATTCCTCAACTCACCCCTTGGCCTGGCCTTGACTTTTGAAGGTTTAATTTGAAAATCGCCGTCGTTCCACACTTACAAGCGAGACTGCACTAATGCATGTACAAAGATTGTTGAAACTTCACATTTATTTGTGGGGAAATATATAGTGAAATTAATTTCCTACGCGCCGCCCACAATTTCCTTTCGTTTCCTCTCAATAGTTCCACTCCCAATATCGTATTTCCGGCTAGACGCTACTGTCGTGTCTCGCAACATGCTGGGAATCCAGAAACATTTTTCTCATATACAGTATATGGATAACGCTTTTCGAAAATATCGATGTCAACTTTTCAAACGCTCTTTATCATGATATGTTACTTAGCTTACTTCCAAGTGCTTTGGTTTTGCCTTTAGGCCACGACCAGGGGATGTGAACTCATAATCACTTCCAATTTAAAATATATTTATTTCAGTATATTCGGCCTTGATCTTGGAAACAAATAACTAAAGGAACCTTAAACTACTGATAGTACATTTTCCTGGTGGGATTGATCGGCTGAACTCCTATTTCAGTTTCCAATCACATTCACATGAACAATACCGAGGCGGAAATAAGTTATTCATTCCAATAGTCACACATTATTTTTCATTTAGTGCATGACTAAATCCGGAAAAATGGCAAAGTTTGCTTTACACACTAATTTAAATTCAAAATAAGTACAACAATGGAATTTGTTTTGGTTGGTCGTGGGTCTGGAATTGAAAATATTTCCTTTTATTCTTTGAACGCCCACATATAGGTTTAACCGGATTAATAAGGATTATTTGTGGACACAGTTATTAAGGAGGTGGGAAACCAACCGTGCTTTCAATGAACATCATGATCACAACCCAATCCGAAGTGAACTCAGTGGTCTACTATCTCATAAACCGTCTCATAGGGAGCTTACAATGACTCTATGTAACTCATTATCAGTATGCTCTACATGCATAGAGCATACTATTGAAGCAACAAAAGAAAAACACAGCAAAAGAAAGCCTTATTAGTATATAGAGCATAGTAATCAAGAGTAGTAGAGCAACAGTTCAGTTGTATGAGTATATTAATTTGGGCTGAAGAAGTGTGAAACGTTGATCCACATGCCAATTAATTAATTAAGGAGTTCTCAATCATTGTGATTTTGAGGTGAGACTAAAGTTCCTCTGCTTCCTTCCTGCATCTAAACGAGTCAGAAAAGGCCGGAAAATGACATCTTTTTGGTTTATGCTACACTATAAGATTGAAGAAATATCTTTTTGTATTGGCTTCCAGTACACGTATATATGCAGGAGTCAAGCATTATAACCTTACCGGATGCTAGTGATTTCATTTGTGTTAGGAATCTACTTGACTACTTTCTATAAAAATATAATGTGCCCGAACAGGTCATTCTCGCTGCTTCTTGATGTTTATGCTATGTCAGAGGTCAGAAAGAGCTTTTTGAGAAGAAACCAGATTATTTCGTCAACACTTATATTTTTAAGTATAGTTGAAGTACATGTATATGTCTGCATGTGACCCAATGTCAATGAACCCCTACGTTCTTCATGATCAGCAATGTTTATCTATTGTACGATTACATTCGAACCTCTATCAATTAAATAGCAATGGAACATGCGATAAAAGAAATTGTCAACATTGCGATTTAAATGAGGTCGGAAACGAACATCGCTATTTAATGCGGTGCAATAACACAATTAAGGTTTACTATATACTGATTTCAGAGCAGATTTTACCTAGCTATAAGCTTCATTAACCAAATAAAACACTCGTTTCGTTCTTTTGATAATCGTGACTTGTTTATAAATGTTATGGCAATGAAAGACAAATCCGTGGGGACATTGGTTTATTCTGTATAGTTAAACGGCCATCCTTGGAACTGAGGTTTGTGGCCGCTTAGTAGAGGCATGCCAAAATTCGATTTTGCAAGTGTTGCCAACTTTCTTTTATTCAAAAAATAAATAAAAAATGGCAACGAAACAAATATAAACTTGACAATAACAGCTCTCTATTATCATTTACAACGCAAAAAAGTGACTTATGGAGCTCTCTTCTTTTTATTAGTGCATTAGTTTATAAACTTCTTCAGTAGTATATTATTTATTTTCTTCATTATTACGTTGCGAATAAAGGAACATGGCAAACGAACCTGGCGCAAGCAACGAAGAAGATGAGTCGTTATAGTTTATAACACAAGAAGAGTTGAGTAACGGTTTGATGTTTAATAATAACAGTTTAATTTTTTCTTGGTCAGTTGACAAACGACGGATTTAGAACGCTGGTTACTATATTCAAGTGATTTGTGAAAGATTCCACGAGAGCTGGATGTCGGATGCATGTCGCCGAAAGGCAACGGCCCGGGACAATAAACATTTTTTGAAGAGTAAAGAAATGAAGGAATGAAACGTTATTGTGAGTACAAATATTATTAAAATCGTTTATTATATATGTATGACAATACTGGCGTATAAAATACCGAACAGTGTGTTAGAAAACGAGACGCTAGCCAAACTCTCTCCACATACTTTGAGCAGTGGCGCCGGCAAGGGGGGGCGAGGGGGGCAGCCGCCCCCCCAATATTCTCCAGTGTGGATTTTTGGATTTGTCCAAATCCGATGTCGTAGGGGGGGGGGTGTGTAAATATTTGGTTGTCAAGTGTACGGTTGCGTGTAATGGCCAAGGAAACGAAAGCCGTCTTTGGTTGATTTATACCGCGAACTTCTTCAAGAACCCGAATGCTTCCCCAATTTGTCAAAAATTATTAAGATTGCCCTTACTCTCCCTTTGACATCAGCATCTGCTGAGGCTGAGAGATCATTTTCCAAGCTGAAAATAATAAAAAATCGCCTGAGGTCGACGATGAGGCAAGATCGACTAGAATCGCTGATGCTCATGTCCGTGGAATCTGACATTTGTCGGGGCCTCGACATCGAAGGACTCGTTGAACGATTTACCGACGCAGCTCCCCGAAGATGGAACTTGTACTAAATATGCATTATAACATTAAATTCTTTATTTCATTCTTGGTTTTATTAAAAATACATTTGATTCATATATTGTATGGAAATCAATTATGTTCCGATCTACTAAAAAAGTGATTTATTAAAACCTTTATGTTTCTCTTAAAGTGCCTCCAAAACGCAGGAAATGCGGTTTTAGACACCCAAAATTCAAAATTTTCTCGGGGGGGCATACCCCCGAACCCCCCTAGTAGGCTCGTGCCTTTGGCACTCGAATGATTTGCTCCCCCAAAAATAAATTCTGCCGGCGCCACTGACTTTGAGGTGTTTTATATACACGGATAATAAAAAAATCAAAGGGTATATATATATAGTCAACTATAATGACATTATATAGTGCTATAAATAGTCGACTCAAGTTGAGTTAATGTTTTTGAAAGGTAGAGAAATGAAGGAATGAAACGTCATTGTGAGTACAAATATTATTAAAAACAAAAATTGTAAATTCATATAGGCCTACAAGTAATGTGCATGTGTTGTTTTAAAAAACGAAACCGTCCAGTCACTCGAGTGAGTGTTATTAGTTATATCACATTATTGATTGGAATCTCATATTCTTGTGTGTACACTGACTCAGGCAGAAACTCAGAGGTTGTGAAAACTATGAGGCAGTTGTAACGTTATAAGCTAGACGAGAGAATTTATCAGGAGATTATACCTTATGGATCAAGGACGTCACACCACTGACATTTCTTCATAAAGCTTGGTTTGCCATATGCCTATGGTCGTGACGGTCGTAAAGATTGAGTCACGATCTTTCTCATCAGCCGAAATACAACATTTTAGAACTGAAAATGAGTGGAGTGATTATAACTATAGAGAATATTCATTTTTTATATGTGGTTTACAGATATATAAACTATTATAATTAAACTGGCCGTTACGAAAGATCGTAGCTCTATTTTTACGACAATTACGACCATATGGAAACCACTAACCAAGCTTAATCATAGAGATCGGATAGTATATATACGACAATCATTGATTACGTACTTTCCATGCCATCCAATTGTCTAGCCATGCACTAGATAATACGCTAGTTATTCCAGACTACTTGTGCCTTGTGGCCCTTGCATGTCGGTAGAACGTATTGATTCGACGGATAAATGCGTCATTACTTATAAATTTCCAAGCCCAAGGTCATGTTATATATACAGTATATACATCATAAACCGATTGTTTGAATGTTGACGAAAGCGTCATCATTATCGCCGGCCATGCTATACGCCTTTAATATTTTCATGAAATTTTCTAAAAAATTGTGAAAGCGAGTTCCAGAAGGAAACAATGTCATGATCAAATTTACTTCTTCACAGATATTTTAACTTCAAGTCATTGTACGTTTTTATATTTATATTTATATAATTATAGGTGATTATAGGTGGAATGTCGATTATTTTAAATCGTCGCGCAACTGCATGTACTCAATGCCGGTTAAACTCATTTCTGCGTGTATACTGTATCTAACAACTAAAATTGTACATACCAGATTTGAGAACAAAATTTCTCTTGAATGTGTATGAAAATAGGTATGAATAACAAGATACCACGCTTGCCCGAGACAAATTTGATGAGCATTATATGAGACAATGACAGATTGACAGTATATGAGGAATTACTCAGTAAAATTATGGAAATTTGAGAAGGTTGTGAGTGATCTTTGGAATGAGGTGTGGTAAAAGTTAAACAGGAACTAATCCTCTGGTAATTATCCAGATGTTGACCAAGGACAAGGAATGGAAAATTTGCAAAGTCGAGTTAGACAATGAAATTACTATGGCACCCCAGACGTAAATATTTAGTACATATTTATATTATATAAGTATAGTTTCTCATAAATTGTGCCATGAAGGGAGCGATGATTTCGACATATGGAATTGTATATGAATATAAGTCAATATTATATGTTCACAGAAGGTCAACAAAGTCAAGGCCACATGCAGGTATATAAAGTTATTGTTCACAATTGCTTGTGCGTCATATATATTATAATAGCATAGTTGCCCCGGGTTCTTTTGTTTCAACAGGGTCGATTACTAACTAATCGCCCGCTGTAGCGGGCGATTAGAACTAATCGCCCGTTACCAAGGGTCACACCTTTGTCTCCCTGACGACTACGCATTAGGCAAGTGCCTCACGCACATAATCGTGCAAGGGGCAGCAACAGTTAGCTCAGAGCCGTCAATAGTCTATCATCCGATCCCTGAGTTGCCGCATCACAGAATAGATAATAGGACCAGAAGTCTTACTCAAGCGGAAACATGTCCCATCTTTTATACTGCGCATGCGCGAGCTAAACAAGTGTAATGCAGTGTTGACAATAGAAAATTATATTGGGAAGTTGTCATTTCTACAGTAAAAACAGCTTTTTTTTCAAGTAGTACGAATTGTGACTTCGGTTTATCTGTGGAACTATTTGAACAGAAGGTAAAGCAGTAATTTTGTTGTATTTAGAAAGCAAACAGGGTCATATTTTTAAAAATATAGCGCACTGAATATAAATTTGAGCATCATTAAAATGTGTTCGCTATGATGCCATTTTGTCTCCGGTATATACTGAGTTCTGCTTTTATACTTGTGGATATTCGAATTTATTTGGCTCAAAAACACTATTACTTCAATATCCCTTTTTTGTTTTTCCTTGGATAGGTTTTAACAAGATAGAACTCTAGATCCCTTGGGTCCAAAGACGCTAGATTATAAAATCCTGATGTGACTTGATACTACGAATAGAATATGTCTTATGATTTAATACTACAAATAGAATGTCTTTTAAGTACAAACTTCAATGAATTGATAAAGTGTAAGGATAGTGTTTAAAGTTGCTTCATGTGTAGAAGCTGAATTACTTTAGTTTATACACTGTATATTGTCGAGATCACATGTTGATATGACTTAATACTAGCAACTTGCAATAAGTGGTCTGTTCTGCTTGTTTATAATACTTTAGAGTTTGGACATTAGAACATTGTAATTGCCTGACAGAGACTGTTAGGGCCTGTTTGTATGGAAGCCGGGCTGGCCCGCTTAGCAAGACAGCCCGGTAAGGTAGGTAAGCAGGATGATTTCTCTTGTGTTTATTTGAGAAAATTTCATTCCGCTTACTGGGACAATTTTGTTGTTTTGACATTATTTTGACAGTTGTTAAAAATAGCTTGCGGCAGTATCTTTGAACTTTCATCGCGGCAACCGGGCTAGCCTGCTTATGATTGTTTATGTGAAGAAATTTCCATCCTGGTCTTGGCAACCGGGCCTGCCCGCTTGTCCATAGAAATGATCATTTGTACTATAAAAATAACTAGACAGCGAGATCTCACTTACCGGGCTGTCTCACTTAGCGGGTCAGCCAGTTTCGATATAAACAGGCCCTTACACAACTGCTAAAAGCTGCAAGTTTCTTTAAAGTAATATCATCTATATCACAGAATACAGTTTCTGTAGTGACATACTTCGTGTTTTTTCTGTCTTTAAAGTGTCTTATGTTTGTAATATTTTTGTACAATACCTTTTTGAAATTGTTGATACTGGTCTCATTGTAACTCAGTAGTCTCAGTTATTCCTTCTCAAGAAAAATAAAAAAACAAAGCTGTGTGGGTGTGTTTTTGCTCTAGTTTTTACATCTACATGATTCATGTACAATTAATGTACATTTAAATTAGCTTTGTTCAATGAATACAGGTGTGATTCAAATATCATTCCTATCTGGTACTTGGATCAAATAGACATAAGCATACCAAATCATGCTATGAATTGAAATGGGTCATTCCAGAAAACATCCATACCTCCCCCACGGAGGAAATTGGAAGTTAACCCCCTACCCCCTTCAGATGTTCTAATACATTTACCATTATCAGAACCAATTTTTTCTCCCCTCCCCCTCCGGACGGCAGAAATTTCCTCCGTGGGGGGAGTGTGGATATTTTCTGGAACGACCCAATACAAGTACTGTATAGGGTGTGTATTGTTTAAATAAATATATTTTCCAGTTAACCCAGTAAGCTGCATTGTGCCCCAATGCACCCTACTTTACTAGTTTATTTCACTTCATCTAATGCCAGATGATTTTACTTATCGAGGGAGAGTGCTGCTGCTCATTGAGCTCTGATTGAGTTCACTGAGTGGCAGCACTTTCCCCTTGACGAGTGAAATTGTCTGGCGTTAGACAGAGTAAAATAATCTTGCGTTCAATCAATCAGCTACTTTTTCAAAAGCTCAACCAGGTTAAAGATTTTTTGATTTGAAAACCAAAGTGATAGTGAACTAGTTAGTTGAAACAAACAGAATTGTTTGATTTATTTACTTTCCACAACATTGACAATTAAAATTTAATTTGATACTTTTCCAGTATATTGACATTATATAGGTTCAAATCATATTGACATTATATAGGTTCAGATTTGACCACCATTACCATTAAGGGACCATCAACCAATCAAATGCATATGATATATTTGATCAACCATTATAATGAAAGTGTGAGTTTATTCATAAACTAATTATAAATCAACTTCCATGCAATGCTTCATGCAATCATCTAGTTATGCACCAGTCAAATGTAAATCCCTGCCCCCAACCGGGGAGGGGTGGAAGGTTTAACAGGGAAAGTGGTCAGTTTTGATTATAAATTTGTCCCCGATGATGGGAGACTTGGACAGTGGTTAATTAATATATATATCCTGTGTTGCTGTTTTAGTTTTCTTGACAAGAAAAGTTTAAATACAACAACATAAATGAATTTGATTTTCTATTGCTGATCTATGATTATACAAAACTATTTTCCTGGGGTTAAGAGACATGCAGGGGACATTGACGTCCCTGGGGGCGGGGACAATTTCGCTTTTTTACTACCCCTCCAAGTCAAAATCCCTGCCCCTCCCTGGTTGGGGGGTTTACACTGACTGGTGCATTAATTAAAGAAGTGTCAGTGCCACATATGTAGTAAAAGCCAACTTGTCAGTAAAGGCCACAGAGCAAGATTGTATTTCAAAG